ACTGCAGCGGCTGGGGCAGGTGGGGCGGCAGCAGTCACTGCCCTCCCAGCCCTTGGCACACTTACAGCTGCAAGTCTCATAGAGGAAAGTCCCATGGCCACTGCAATGCGAGACACCTGGCCAGAGCAGCACCAGGATGTACAACAGCAAGTGTGACGGGGGGGGGGGGGAGAAAAAAAGAAAAAATTAGGAACATAGCAATGGACAGATAGTGCAAAGGTGTGTTCAAGGTCATTAAAGGGAAAGCATAAATATCACTGGAAAATATGGGCTGAAAAAGACCTGAAGACATCATCTTGGCCATCTGCCCCAGGTCCAAGGAGGGACCAGCTCCACCCTTGCCTTTCCCAAGGAATTTTTTTAGGAATGCAGATTCCATGACCACCCCCAGACAGTCAACTAGAAAGCTTTTCACAGCCTCTAACCTGAATCTTCCTGGCTGTAGTTTAAGCTCACCATTTCTCACCACAGTTATTATAAAGATGGAGAGCACATTATTCTCATCTGCTATACACCTTTATTTTTCATGTAAGCAAAGACTGAGCACTTCTTTTTGTCTCTATGCCCCAAACAACATCAGTTTGTCAAATTTCTTCTTAGAGGCCATGCTGTATAAACCTTTGACCACAGGCAGAGCCAATGGCCACCACAAAACATCATCATCATAAACTCTGCTCTTCTTTTAGTCAGTTATCAAGGAGGAAATAAAAAGACAAATTTTCAACAACTGCAAAATTCTGGACGCAAAAATGAGAAAGGAAAAGTCAGCAACAAGAAGTGCTTCCCTTATCTTCCATCCTCCCCCAGAAATTCCTCCACCGAATCCTCCCATCTACATGAAACTCAGGAACTGTTCCCTTGCACTTCTGGGAGATTTCCCCTGCGCTGGTTCCAGAAATGATATGTACTACCACATTTTGGGACCTTCAGATTTCCTTTCACATCATAGAAACCAGAGCAATGTCCCGTCTGTAGGACTCGAGCATTTCACTCACGGAAAACCCCCAATAACCTTGACAAATGGATTCCAGTCCCCAAATCTCTGCAGGAAATAGGCTGTATCTGGGATGTAAGAACAGATACTGCAATTGTTACTTACCTTGGCTTCCCCCACAGCACTTCTGAGGGCTGCAAACTTCTCTCAGCTCTGCCACGTCTTTCTCCAGCTTCTCCATCCTCTCAAGCAGACCCTTAATGTGGGTCAAATTTTCACAGTCCCCTTTGGGTGCATGCACATGGATGTTGTGCCTAAAGATGATATTCTGCTCTTCATTTTCCTCAGCCTCTCCAGGATCTAGCTGCACCTCACTGTTGTCTTCATGCAGTAATGGATCTGCTTCCACCTTAATCTGGGAGGATGTGGGCAGGTCAATCTTGTACGAGTGGCTGAAGGATATTCTCTGACCATTGCTGGTGCAGTTGTGAGATGCAGGATGTTGAACAGCAGATGTCTGAAGAGCACAGCACAGCAATACCCCCACTGGGAAGGCAAACCAGCTCTGGAAATCCATCTGGCAGGTTTTCAGAGGAAGCACTGACCCCTCAAACTGAGCTGCTTTCAAGAAGAAGAAAAAAAAAATGTAAGTGCGATCACAAAGCTGGTTTTCATGATTTTCTAAAAGACAAATTATTTGTTTTGCCCTGATTCAGTACTAGATTGGTAAGTACCCGGAAAAAGAGTCACACTGGATGAGTTAGATACAAAAGAGCTTCTAGACCCCCAACTAGGAGCTTTAAGTTTGCAACTTTCAAATAAGACTTAGTATCATGGTCCACTGCAATTATTAATTATGCCATAGCACTTCTCATTCCCCAGCAGTTACAATAGACATTGTATCAGTCTCCCAGCTGCAATCTGGATTACTGGTCATCTTTTTAGCCATGGTAATCTCCAGCAGCTTGCATGGTTTTCAACTAGAAGCGCGATAACTGTGCTGATGCTGTGTGCATGAAAAATTCAGAGAGCTGACATTGATCTTCCGGTAGAAGAAGTTCAGGAGATAGTTCTGCTCACTGTACATGCATCACGCCATGAGATATCTTTCCCAGGACAGCTGCATTTCAGGCAAGGGTGGAAATGTTTTCAGGAAGGTGTTGAAGGGGATGCCAAGAGTCAGTTTCTACAGGGATTATAAGTGTAGAACGCTTTCTCAAGGAGGGAGATCAGCTAAGAGAAGTGGACCACAGAACCTGACCAAGTATCAGCCCCAGCCTTAGAGTCCCCATCCCTGCCTCTGCCCACTGGAGACAGAGGAGGGGAGCTGAGTTTCTGTGGAGCTGAGGACATCTGCTCTGTAGAGGCAGGACTGAGATCCTCACATGGCTTCACATGTGTTGTTGATTACATGTCACAAAATCCCCACTTTGAGTACAACTATCCTGACAGAAAGCTGAACCGGCTGTCTTCAGCTTCAGGGTCTTGTGTTGATGATTTCTGATTTAGTCCACCACTTCAAAAAGTCCCTTTAGTTTTAAACTATCAGGTTTTAGCCATGTGACTCAAATGATACATAAAATGAAACCCACCCTCTTCTTCTAATATAGCACATAGCCTACACAGTTATCCGGATTGGGGAGAATTAAAACATTCCTTCCATTTAAAACTAATGTTTTGGCATTTTGTGTGCCTGAACACTGGCTTCACTTGAGGGATTTCAAGTTTATTTTGCTTTGACTCAGTTATCTAATTTGTTATCTCAGCATTGGCAAGGTTCATTTAGAAGCTACTAGAGCAAATCTATTAACACATGGAGTGAGAGGATACGTTGTAAACCCATTTATTTTCCTGTACTTTTATTTCAAAAATATTCCTTCTTTCCTACGCTGCACACATAAATAGGAAGAGCTTGTTTTCAGGCTGATTAACTGTCAAAACTAAGACTTAAAAATAAATAAATAAAATGGTACTGTTTAATTGCATTGACATTTAGAGGTCAAAACTGAAGTCCAAACATTTAGTTTAAAGTCTTCAGGTAGTCTAACAGAAACAACGACTGCTGTAAAATTTTTATGCTGTCAACCAAGCAAAAATTTTGGACTTAGGAAATGAACACCTCATAAGCAAGAATAACAGGAAGGAAGAAGCTGAACAAACATGGGTGGAAAGATAAAATGTAAACTTAGAAACCTAAATTTATCGGTTGGCTTATTCAACACTACAAACTAAATTTTGGCACTAATGGTAGATGTCAATCTGTACAGGAGGTGACATATACTTGGTTAAATACTTAGAATTTCATATCACAGGATGCAAATACAAAATGCCACCATATGTGACTTACTAAGCAGTCGTGTTATTCATTGCACAAGCGGAAGAAAAAACATTATTTAAGTGCTAAATTAGGTAATGTGATAACTAGAAACCATTTGGCCAATACGTATCCATAGTAACAGCACATCTGAACCCAGATAATAGTGCTGCCCCAGATAATACTCTTTCAAGTAACAGAGGACTCCACTCCTAAAGAATCATACTAAGTTTTCGGCTCCTCTGCTATTTCCATTGTAATCACATTTCTGAAAGTCATACAGTCCTTGGTTATGATGAAAATTAACTGTTTCTGTGAAACAACACTATACGTTCTAAACGCCTCCCAAAACTTTGAAAGTATCCCTACCATTAGATTCATGCCCTACTGTTGCCAGCACAGCTACAGGAAGATGTCCTTCATGCTCAGAAACATGAGGCTTTGATTACTAAAAACCAAAACAAAACCACACCACCGTTGGAAATACATATTATACATGCTTATGTATATGACATATATGACAGACCACTCTAGTGCTAGCTCATCTCTCTTCAAGCAAAATCATCACTGACATCAAGCAAAATAGGGTACGGATTTCAAGGTTCAGTCTACAATTCTTTATCTCATATGAATTAAATAAAATAAGGGAGTTATCTCTATTGTTCATTCCCAAGCAGTAATTTGTTTGGGTTTGGTTTTTTTTTCATCCATTCAGCACTTATCTACTACACTTAACTTGCAGTAAGATAAAAGGGAGGGGGACGGGGGGAAAGTATGTTACTCTGTGGAGGCAGGACTTCTTCCCTATCTCTGTCTCCTGAGATTTTGCAGATACCTGTTTGTGACCAAAGATGCAGTTTTCCCACCCAGACCCAGTTGCTATTCTGTTTCCCAAGACTCCTCTCCCTCAAAGGGCCACAGAAACTAACTATACCTTTCTTTCTGTGCTGTGCAGCCTTCTGAAACAAGTCAAGTCATAAGAGATTGCTTCAAAGCTCTGAACAAATTTAATGTCTAAATTCTACAGATTCTCACCATAGTCCACTGCAGGAAACCCCAAAAGCTTTGTTTTGTGGGGTTTACTTCCAATCCCCTGGAGATGATACTCCCAAACCAACCACCCCTAACCACACACACAAAATCCCTTCTCTCAGTACCAAGTGCTGAATAGCATTCTGTTGTAACATGATGTCATTACTAATTAGGGCTTCATGCGAACCACAAATTGATCTCAGATTTTCCTGGGCCTGGAGATCATTCAGGAGGAAAAAACCCTGAACATAAGCATTTCTGTCAAGCATAATGAAAGAGGAGGACAGCTTTTTTGGCTTCCTTGTAATGTAATAAAGAAATTTTCCACTGCTGTTAAAAAGAGTGGGTTTAACTGATTCTTCATGGAGAGTATCACATCATAACATATAGCTGGCAATAATAGTAGATTAAGGAAATGACTAATTTAGGAAAGAATGCCTAACAGTCAGATCTACTAGGCACAAAATATTCTCCTCAGGAAAGGGATGAAAGAAGCCCTGCTCACATCTTTTCAACCTTTGCAGAGGGAAGCATGGGATGATCAAAGCTGGAGAGAAGCTACAGTATTTATGTGAAAGACTCCAATGATCTAACTCTGTAAGTCTTTTTCCATCCTACAGGTCAGTGCTTGAAGATTTGAGGTATAGGCCTTCGCAGTATTATCTTCTGCTAGCACCCAGTCAGCCATAGGAGATGCATGACTGGAAGCTGCTTCTATCAAGGCAAGAGCTGATAAAGGCACGGATGTAGATACTTAGCAGTGTGCCACCCAGGCAGTGTGGAGATGGGATTGAGGAGAGAAAGGAGGACTTGTAGTCACAGGAAAAAGGAAATGCAGGTCTAGGACAGCTCCAGGGTTGCAGAAGAGGGAGAGAGAAAGTTATAAGATCAAAGACTGAGAAATGGGGCAGAGTAGAGTATGTACATATCCAAGCAGAAAGAGTTATACAATGCAACATTAGAAGCAACACACATTAAACTTGAAGGAAAATAGCCAGAAAAAAAGGAGATGCAGTGAAAGGAGCCATGGGCTGAGACCTGAGCTTTCTAAGTACCAAGGGACAGTACGTTGTGCAATTTTTTGAGCACAGCATTTTGCTCCTAGGGCTAGAACAGAAGCCACCAAGTTGTACCACAGTACTAGAGACATGAGAGCTGTCAGTTTCCTAACTGCCAAGTTAGAAAATTGGCATGTTTAACCATGCTAAATCCAGGGGCTTTCTTGGGGAACACAAGGGGAATAACAAATATTAGAAGACATGTCAGAAAGTCCTTTGCAAGTTCACAGAAGTGCTGCCAATATCCAAACAGCCATCACTTACTTGAATAACTCTCGAGAAAAGCAGCAACAGACCTGTCTGAACAACACTAGGAAGGTAGCTTTTAGGCTCAGGAGACACAAGCATTACCAGTGATGGATATTTATCATGTGCTCTGCCCTCAAATGAATGTTGACTGTAGAATGCCATACTGTTTAAAGCATGGAGGTGACAATGTGGGAGCAGGGGAGTGCATGGCAGCAGCCTGCGGAGAGAAGCAAATTCATCTGCAGAAGCACATGGCAAAGCCACATTCTTAGATGCAGAAGATGTAGCAGCACAGAAGTTGATAAACCAGCTCATCTCTGAGTAAGCTGGAATACAGTCGCGCTTCTTACATCTTACAACCCTTTTAGCAATAAAGAATGACACAAGTCAGTAACACCAAAGAGCAGAACTCAGTCATAGAGGCTACTATTTTTTGTTAGCAGTCTGACAAAAATGAAGGGGGGTTCAAAACATGCACAAAATCATAATACTACTACTCATTTGCTAAGAAGTCTAGCCCATTTTCCTTCCGCTTTACATATTTTTCTCGGTGAAGCATTCGGTTGAGACAAGCTACTACTTTTACAGACTTTCCATAAGTATAATTTAGTTTAACCAATTGGATTATTTGTCTTTATTTTCTGTGGTGAAACTATTCTACTGTTCCAGACCTCATCTGCTTTAGAAAGCTCTGCATCAGGCTTCCTTTTCTCTGGTATTGGTCACAGAAGTCATTCGATGCAACTGCTGTATAAGCTAGCCAGCATTCTGTTTTCAGTATTTTGCAATCTTTATGCAATCAACGGTTGCAATTAATGCAACCAATGACTGCCAACAAAAAAATGTAACCATTACTTCAGCAAGATTCTTTTGCAAGTATCTACCTTTTTTTATTTCCAGACTGAATGAACCTTACCTAACACC